TCATTCAGATTATGTTGAAGAAGATGTTGAACATGATGTTGAGACATCAATCAGACTGAAGACATGTTTATGTGTTCAATAGCTTCTAAAGACTGAAGACTAAAGCTGTGATTGTTATTTTTATTGTTGTAAGCTGAGTTGTAATTGCATATTTGTTTTAGCTAAAATTTGCCAAACGAGGAGATTGCTAGTTTTCTGGTTTTAGGATTAACATGAATTTTAGTAAAACAAATATAGCAACAATATGTTAAATATGATGTATTAACTTGTTGAAAAGAACAGGTTGAACAAGAAGTCCTATTCTATGGAGAAATATGCTGAGATGAAATATTTTCTCATTTGGAGCAACATGTCAGACAAGATGTCCCATGCAGAGTCATTCGACATCGTGACTAATTTGGGATGGACTGTTTGATCAGTTTAAGATTTAACAAATGAAAAACATTTTGGGAATATTATGCTATCCTACGTGGTAATGTTTTTAAGGTCTGAAAGATTTAAGCTGAAACCAAGAAGAATATTGACTTTCTAATTACGAAGATAAATTAGGAAAGTCATTATTGAAGACCTATCTTTATGCAAAAGATTATGCAAATTTGTAGCAACTGATATGATGTGATTTGAAGCCCAAATCTAGTTGGGAAAAGATTTATAAATAGAAGGACATTAACATAGAAAAGGCACCAGCCAAAGATGCAAAGTTTAGATTATTAGGGTTGAGTCTGTAAGCTACTCTCTAGGAGAGCCGATATGTGTGAGTCTCTCTAATATCATGTTGATAGAAGAGTAGGATTGTTCTTTGAGTTGTAAGGTTTTGTTGTTTATTCTTAAGCTTTTAAGCATAAAATGCATATTGTTCTTGGATGAAGCTTTGAAGCAAATCCAAGTGTGTTGGTTAGTCAAGAGTCATGGCTGAACTTTATGGTTGTTATATATCACTGAGGTGATTTAGGAAGTGAGATGGCGATTTCTCATATTTAAGAATGACCTAAGTAAAAGTGTCATTGGGTAGGGATTATGCGAGAAGTTGTAAACGGGGGAGTTTAACTTTAAACTAATATTGCTGATAGTGGACTTTCTTCGTGGCTTGGTAGTCCCAAGAATAGGTGTTGATTTGCACCGAACTAGGTCATCATATCTTGGTGTTTTTATCATTCTGCATTGTTTAATTTTGTTTTTGATTGATTAATTAACATGTCGTGTAAGATTTTGTAACATCTGTTACGATTCTGGACTGATAAGTTGTGTATCAGTCTGCTGTTTCTATCCATGAGTATTTTACATTGATCAATGTCTCAACATGTGTTAGGACATGTGTAATTTGTATACTAGAATTTCATAAAATAATATAAAAAATATTATAATGAAACAAAAAATAGAGGAGATGAAAGGTTAGAGAAAATGAAAAAGAAAGAGCAGAAGAGAAGAGAGATTAGAGAAGAAGATGTGCATTAAAAACATAATTGAAAGAGAGAATAATAAAATAAAAATAAGAAGATGAAATAGAAATAACATAAGAGATGAGAGACTAGAGAAGAAGAGATGAGATGAACATGGAAAAGAAAATGAGAAGAATATGTGATACTCCTAAAAGAGATTCGAGAAGACTTAAACTTTAAGTGCGAGGAAGAGAACATTATTCGTTCGTAATGATAAGGTTAAAGCATAATAGTTTGAGTTTTTGTAACATAATACACTTTTAATTGTCAAAAATTAACTCAAACACATTTAAATTAAATACGATTTTTTTTATAATTTTGATTTGATTTGATTCGGTTAAGAGTTTTTTATTGTGAGTTGGTTTTAAACACCCCACCGTTCTTTATTGTCTTGTTTATATTCTCACTTTTCACAACTCACTTCCTCGTGCTCTTTCTGTCTCTCCCTCTGTTTTCTTCCATCAATGGAAACCCCAATAATTGATTATCGTCATTTTTTCATTCAAGACACCGATTTCTACAATCGCATTGTTCTCGGCTTCTTCCTCCCAAACTACTTCTGGGTCCCTCTCCCTCGCTTCTGTCAAACATGGCTTCGTAATTACATTGGCGGCGTTCTTCTTTACTTCATCTCTGGTTTCTTATGGTGCTTTTACATTTACTATTGGAAACGCAACGTTTTTCTTCCAAAAGGTCAATTTTTTATTATTTTTGCTCTGAAAAATATCGTCTTTTCGGTTTTATTTGAAATGGGTTTTGCGTAATTGATTGTTCTGTTGTGAAAATTATTATCTTTAGGGTTTAATTTGAAATGGGCTTTGAAAATTATTATTAATTTTTTTTTTTTGTAGTTTTTTAGGAAAAGATTATTTTTTGATCTGATTTTTTTGTGTTCATGTTCTTGATTTACTGTTTGTTCTTGATTTAGTGTGTGTTTGGTTAGTTGATTTTAGGTTTGATCTTATGGGATGGAAAATTGAAGTTCAAACTTCAGCTAGATTTCAGTGGTTGACTTTTTGGTTACTTCTGTTGTTTTTTGCATTTAGATTTATAAAATAGTATTCTTTTGGATCTGTATTGTGTTTTTTGTTCTTAGATTTCTTCAATCATGTAATGTTTTGTAAACTGAGTGATGACCTATCATCTGTTTGATGTATTGTGCCTTCTAACCATTGTTTGTAGACTTCTGTTTTCTGGACTTCAAAATTGATTCTAGAGGTTTAAAATTGATTTTGCCTTCGTAATAGATAGATTCAAACTTGAAGCTGAGATTTATAACTTTTGTCTCTTTTTATGCTAAAATTTACTGTGAAACCTAACACAGGCAATGGAAGCATGGTTTTATTTTACAATTGATATATTGAAATCTATTGTTGCAGATGCGATTCCGTCACGTAAAGCAATGCTCTTGCAAATATCGGTTGCTATGAAAGCAATGCCTTGGTACTGTTTGCTTCCGACTGTTTCAGAGTACCTGACAGAAATCGGGTGGACAAAGGCCTTTCCTAGAATCAATAATGTTGGTTGGGTTGAATACATTGGCTACTTAGCAATTTATATGGTTATTGTAGAGTTTGGTATATATTGGGTGCACAAAGAGTTGCATGACATAAAACCACTTTACAAATATCTTCACGCGACGCATCACATCTACAATAAACAGAATACTCTCTCCCCATTTGCCGGTGAGTATGTTAAGTATTCGATATTTCAACTTTGCAATCATAGTCATATAGTATTGAAAATGTATATGTTGTGTTAGGTGCTTATGATTTTAAGGATTAGCGCTTGGTTAGAATGCCTAAATGTGTTTTGATTTCGACCAAGTGTTTTTCGTTTGGTAATCACTCATATTAACTATAAATGCTGTTTTCCTTAGTTAATTACTCACGAGGAGTCTAGTTCTACATGACTCAATAGTGGTATCAGAGCTAATGGTTTAACTAAAAAGAACCGGTCGGTTCCTTGTGTCAAAAGTCTTTCTGGCAATAATGGTCAGGCAGCATTTTGATGCAGCGGCAACAGCGGCGCAAGTGTATGTGGATGAAAAAAATTCCGCACGAGGGGAAATATATCCAAATGAATGGATAGACTCACTTGAGGGTGAGATTATTGTGTGGCAAGTGTGAGTTAGAACTTACAAGTTTTATATTGTTTGGAAAAAGTGAAGGTTGAATAGTATAAATGCGTGAGGACCCATAAACTCAATCCTTCAAAAAATTTAGTGAAGTTGTGATGTCTGTGGCTCTTGGTCCAATGTTTTTTTTTTTTTTTTGTAAGGGCTACTGTGATTTCTTAGTTTACATCACTTTCGAGTTTCATTCAATGTTTTAAAAACCAAACTGGACAATTCAATTGTTGACCCGTGAACCAGCACTATCACTCCGGTTATTTGAGCAGTTTGACTGCTGTTTCGTTCAGGTTCAAGCGGTTTAAAGTAGTTGAACCATGATATGGAAATCTCGCCAGTTCAATATCTGGTTCGGTTTTTAAAACATTGTTTTTGAATCTAAGATATTTAATGGTGAATTGACTTGTTTTGTATATATCAGGTTTGGCTTTTCATCCTCTTGATGGAATACTTCAAGCACTACCGCACAGTATTGCTTTGTTTATTGTTCCAGTCCATTTCATCGCACATTTAGCGCTCTTATTCATCGAAGCTGTTTGGACTGCAAATATTCATGACTGCATTCATGGGAAATTGTGGCCTGTTATGGGAGCTGGTTACCACACCATTCATCACACTACATACCGACATAACTACGGTCATTACACCATATGGATGGATTGGATGTTTGGCACTCTTCGCGACCCCGAGGAAGACCAAGGCAAAGCGATGTGATTAGTTTGCATGATGAAATCTAGCTTCGACTCAGTTTTATTGGTTGAATGTTATCTTGACTTATTGTTGTTGAAATGTGGTTCATTGCATGTAAAGCACAAAACATTGTGTTTTCCAATGTATGTTTCTTGTGTGTTTCATCCAAAGGGTTTTAATGTGACTCAATTGTTACTTTGTATATTTCATTTTATTTTTGTGCTTATTTTCTTTCTCAAATTGTTTGGCAACAAATGAATAACAGAATTAGATATCCAATTATGTTGCCAAAATTTTCACATTCTAAACAAAACCAATGTCGAATCCAATATTGTCAATTGCAGATAGAGCACGGGTTAAATTCCACGCGTTATAGATACATTGATAAAAGAGAATTTACATGCGAATTAACTAGTTTTTGTGATTCTATACATTGATAAAAGAGAATTTACAAGAGTTAACTTGTTTTTGTGATCTAAAATTGTAAAATTCTATAAGTTTAAGAGTTAAAGATTTAGAACACATAGAACAAGTATCAACAAAGGGAACTTGCATGCAATAACATAATAAGACTCAATTTTCAGTCCAAATAAAACATAATAAGCAATATACCAAATTATATGTTCCACTTAAAAAACAAGGAAAGAAACTCATATATAATAGAGTTTAGATGATAAATTAAAACCAAATGCAACAATAATAAACTAGAAAGCTAGCATAAATATTTAAAGTATTGAAAGCTACTTCCTTCCATCCATGTAGTTAAACATATGATGACCTTGAAGAAAATCTATATCATAGTATCCATTAAGTTGATATCCATGAGGTAGGTTTGGATGTTTCTGATAAGGAAGAGTATGCATAGCAATAGGATATGATTGCATTGGATTTCCATTGTAATAGTATGGTAACAAGTTTTCATTATTTTCAGCTTCATTATTCTTCATCGTGCCGATACTTGGATCATAAGTAACATTAGCACTAACTTGATTCCCCCAATTCATACAATTAGCATCCATTTTCTTATATGGATAAGGTTGCATATATCTACCCTCCATAGGTTCGACCTGATACGAACAACCTTGTGCACTGGTAAGCATAGAAGAAGATTGCGAGCTTTGCCCGATTTGAAATGGAAAAAACCCTAAGGAGTTTAGGTTTTTATCATTAATATTCATCAATGGAGGGTAAATTTGTGGTTGAGACATGCTGTTTTGCATGAGATGGTAGTAGTTACTTGAATTTGAAGCAATGTAAGGAGTGTTCATAAGTTGATCAAACTTGTGTGGTTCTTGAACTATTGCTTTTTCCTTAAAATCTCCTTTTAGCATATTCATCTTTAGATTACAAGCATCAAGCCTAGCATCCAATATTCTAGCAAGCATCCTCACGTCTTCCCCTCCAATAGAATTGAAAGACTCATCCCAAGTTGGATACATGAGCTTTAACCTATCTTTGCGCACTTTGGAAATCTCGAATTCAACTTTTTTCACTCTCTCTTTGTAATATTCATGAACATCGTAGATCTTAGGACGCCTATCGCTCGTCGTGTTATAGTACTTTTCAAGAATTCTTTGTACCTCTTTTGGGTCTTTAGGCCATGTTTCAGGTCCAACATATCCTGGACCTTCAAAGTTTGGAGCATAGAGAATTACACAAACATCAACATCACAAAGAATAGCAAATTCATTCACTTTTTTCATCAATCCATTCTTTCTCTTTTGAAATGTTGTCTTTCTTGCCTTCTCATTTTGAATGAGTTCCATACTTATTCTTCCACGGCCCATTTTCTACAAACAAATTACAAAATCATGCATCCATATCTTAATATAGTATATTTGATTAAAAAAACATAGTATACTATATCTATACAAATAACATTATTAATAAAACAATTAAATAAAAGGTTTACAATTTATATAATAGTGAAGTGTAAAAACACAATTTTATCATGTTCAAGGCCGGTTTGAATAAACAGAAGTATAGATCAACTCAAAAAATATCAATAATCAGACCTAAACTTGACCATGCATAACAACAACAAAAATTGGATTTATGGATCAAATTTTCCCTACCACATTCAAAATTTAAAATAAACACAAGTGATTGAATAAAAAAAATCATAGAGTGAAGATTCATAATATGAGCAAGAACATAGATATGAATTTAAAAAAACTTACCTCAATGCACCTTAGAATTCTCTCTTTCAGTTTTCTAGTGTATGAATGAATCTTAGGTAGAATCGCCTAATTCTCTCCTTTTACCTTTTTTGAGTGTATTTATAGAATTTTTATGATGCAAATGAAAAGGGAAGATATAGATTGAAAATAAAAAAATTAAATATAAATCAATCAACAATTAAGCTAATTGATATTGTACAAATAGTATGTTTCCTTTTCTAAAGTTATTTTCTATTTTTGTTTTATATAGGTTTAGGGTCAATTATTATTATTTCACCAAATAATAGGGGTATCTTCTTAAGCAAACAAGTGCTTACAACATTTTGTTTCATCATTTTTGGATTATTAAATGAATATATTTGATTCAACCTAATCCAATTTAATGTAATTTAATATGAATATTTAAATTGTAAATTGTAAGCTTATTTAAAAAAATTTGTAAATTGTAAATCTTTTTGATAATATTTTTATAAAAATTTGGGTAAATATGTTTAATAATACTTTTATTAAGTAAATGTTTTTAATAATATTTAAATTATAATATTTTTAATGTAATTATCAAATAAATAATATTTGTAATAAATTATAAAATGCAAGTATTTTAACAATATATACTATATTAGAAATTAATATTATAGAACAAAATAATCAATTATGTTTAATACTTACAGCATTTCGATTTTTTACGCTTGTTAAAATTTTTTGGATTCGATTTAAAATTTAATTTGGATTGATTGGTATTTGAATACTCTATACAAATCAAAAGTATATTAGAAATCTAAAAAGAATAAATAAATAAAAATAAATTTAATAAATATTTTTATTTATTTATTTTATTTAAAAATAAAATACATTAAAAGTTTGATGGAAAAAACATAAGCTAAAAAGCTTTATCTAGTCAACAAGTCCCTAATTTATAAGTAATTATAATATGACGATTACAATTGATTGAAATTTTGTAATTTATTAATGTATATAAATTAAATTAAATTAAATTAAAGTCAATATTATATTATAGTATAATGAATGTGATAAATTTAAATTGCTAATAACCTAATTTTAATTATAAAAAATATTAAAAATTATGTTAACTATATAAGCAAGCAACAAAGCAAAAGAAAGATAAGCACTAAAAAGTGAGTCCAATTTTACTTCATTTAGATACTTCATTTATTTCATCTATCACATTATTTTCTTAAAATTGTAAAATATCTTTTTGTTAAATAAAACCGAATTTTAAAAAATATATATCATCTTAGTTTAATAGCACAAAACTTATAAAGAAAATTAATGTTACAAAAGAGAAAAAATTAATCTTCTCATTCAAATATTGTAGTGAACGAAAATATTTATGATAGTGCGTGAGACATTTTTAGTGAGGATAGAGAAAGATAATAATAAAGGAAATAAAGATTTGTATTATTCAATTGTACAAATAATGATATACACTATGACTATTTATATACAACTCTAATTGGGTTTGGGCGAACACAACTTGGATTATATTTAAATATTAAATCTAATCAAATCTAATTTAATATTTCAACGCACCCCCATAATCCAAGTGAACATACTCAAAAATAGTCAATCTGAACTATTCCTAATTTCTTTCTCAAATTCAGGAATCTGTCGATCTTCAATCCTTTAGTGAAAATATCGGCGAACTGTGCTTCACTTAAGCAATGCCTAACTTCAAGTTCACCTTGATTTACTTTTTCCCTCAAGAAGTGAAACATTGCTTCAATATGTTTACTTCTTCCATGCAGAACTAGATTCTTTGTCAAATTTATGGCTGACTTATTGTCGATTTGCAACACTAGAGGTTTCTTCACTTCGACAGTCATTTTTTCAAGTACAGATCTGATTCAAATTGCTTGACATGTGTGATACGGTGGTAGAACCGACTGTTAATACTGGTTTGCGTTTTGTATTCGCAAATGTGCGGTAAGCAAGAGTCGCCACCGACTTTTCTTTTATCCAATAAAGGAAAAGGTGAAAAGAACAGAAAAGACCTTTTTCGAGATTTTGAGTAAGGGGGGCAGATTATGGAAAGGGAAGGTGTTAGCACCCTTTTCATCCGTAGTTTTCCACGGGCTCTTAGGTACTTGCTCATTTTGAAAACTGCTTTCGTGTTTGTGTGTTTTGAAAAGTTTACTTGCTTTATGATAACTCTTGTATGAGTCCTCAAGAGTGTTGATAAAGCGTTTTTGAAAAGATTTTGAAAGTGTGGTGTGAAAAAGATTGTTTTGAGCAACTACTTAACAACTATCTACCTACTCGAAAAAGGTGTTCTTTTCCTCCTTTCCTTTATATAATGCTATCCTACTATTAATGAGTATGCAACCTTATCGTTGGATGTTGAGGGACTATTGAAGGTACGTTTACGGCCACTAAGGCAATTGGACAAGAACTCTTAGTAATTGTCCTAAAGTTCTAAGATCACTTTTTTTAACTGAGGCAACAGTCGAAAGGGTCATCGAGGGATTTGTGATCTCTTGAACTCAAGGACATTCACGAAAAAATTCTCACGTTTCGAGAATTGTGACCGTTTTCGAAGGCAACCGAAGTGGGAGATACCCTAGGGGTGAGCATGTGCAAGTGTATTGGTTCAGTTCATTTATCTTGTGCATTTAGGGTTATCTAATCGTTTTAATTTCAGTCATTTTCATACAATCCTATTAATCTAAACAGTTATAATAATGCAGAAAATAAATTGCGGAAAATAAAACTCCTAAGCTATTACAAGGCCTTGGGGCAATTACATAACTAGTACATAAAAATAAAAATGTGGAATTTTAAACCTAATTAAAACTATTACAAACCAGGAAACAATTACATAATTAAACAAAATACGAGAAAGTAACTTAACAAAATAAAGTGGCAAGAAAGTATTAGAATCAGGAGAAAGGAGGTTGGGAGGATTAGGGTTAGTAGAAAAAGGAAATATTTAAAAATTAATGGCAAAAGATTCGAAATTGATTAATTTAAGAAAAAAAAGAAATTTGATTGAATTAATTTAAGAAGAAAAAAAGGATTTTATTAAATTATCCTAAGTCTAATTAATTTTAATTGGCAAAAATATCTAAACCTAATTAATGTTAATTACAAAAAATATATTTAAATCTAATTATCTTTAATTACAAGAAATAAAATTAATTGATGATTTATTTACAAGAACAATTAATTAAAATATATTTTTTGCGTTTTTGATATAAAAGAAATTAAATTAAATATGTGAATAAACCTAATTCTAGTTAATTTTAATTAAGGAAATAAGTAAAATAATTAAATTAATTTCCAAAAATTAAATTAATTAGAAAAAACCCTAAGTCTATTTTTTATGATTTTATGATTAAAATAAAAAACTGATTTTAAAACAAATAAAATTAAATAAAGAAATTATAAAAAAACAAAAAAAAAGGATAGAATGAGCCTGTTATTGTTTTTAGTATCGGGGTGTGAGTGACAATTTGTTAGGCCCAGCTCAAAGGAGCCCAATGTCCTTGCGTGAGATCCAGTGGAGAGTGTGTTTGAGGGTCTATGGTGGGGTCACACGCTGGAGGCGCTGTATCCAAGTCAATTGAGATCAGATGGTCTTGACCCGATGGTCTATGATATGCGTGGGTAGAATGCTGCACTGAATCTACAAGAAACTTGTTAGAAAAAATAAAATTCCATACCTGGGTATCGAACCCAGGTCCTCCCCTTCACAACGCGCTGCCTTTGCCATCCGTGCCAACTGTTAATTCGTGAATATAAATAAAACAAAATAATATAATGTGAAAACATGGCAATTATTCAAGCAAAAAGAAAACGCGCGCAGATTTGAACTGGCCAGTGGGGCTGCACCACGCAGTCATCTTCTCCACTCATCCGTCCTGTTAGCTTCTGCACTTTTACCGACGGACGTTGTCCGTCACTATAGCACTTGCAACTTCCGAAATCCACATCACACAATATAAATTAAATTTAAAGCCATAGGTCAATTAGGCTTGATCTCCTAAGCATGATGGTACTCATCTCTGGGCTCAATTTTGCCTGTACCTGAAAACCCCAAAACAAAGGTTCAAACACTAATAATGGCAGATCATCATACATTCATCAAAACTTGCAATTACTGATTCAAATACGTTCTAAACATTCATACAAACAGGAATGCATGATTCAAACACATTTATAACGCATGTATGGCCATGATCGTTTTTGAAGAATAAAACTCAAACCGAGATTGTATTGGTCGCGATTCTGGGAGCTTTGATACTTGGAAACGATGCAATTAGCTTCAGGATGCCTCCAGGAATAGAATACAACCCTCAGAACCTCTTGAATCCCTCTGCAACTCCAAATCCGATTGTCACTTTTTTTTGAATTTTCAAGCTTGTGAACATGGTCTTTTTTGCAGCAGTTGCGTCTGCTTTAGGTCTGGAACGTTTATGCATATATAGTATATCATATTAGGTCAACAAATATGGATTTAATCTTGAAGATTGGATGCAAAAGATTTGATTTGCATCTTGGAATTTTATGTTTCTAATTTTAGCCAAAACTTGCTCCTCTCTCTCTCTCTCTCTCTCCAATCAGCCTTCACACGAATTCTTGACTTAATC